TCAGGGTGCTATGCTCCCCATTGTTTCAGGTCAATGGTCGGTGAGCTAAAAAATAAAAGTGTTTATAGATTCAATTCCTCTCTCTGTTATTGGCTTTTTGGTTGGTAGTGACAGGCAGCAGAATCCAGGCCTATTCCAGTAACAATTTGACAGATACTTCTGGATGTTTATTCTATGTCAGATTTTGATCTGCGGCTTGATTTTATCCTCTAAATATTTCAATGGAAAATTGCCATCATGCCAAATTCTGCTCCTACCACTTGCTGGTTGTGAGATCTTAAGACATTCCTTTAAGGATTAAATAACGATGACAGCTAACACACTTATACAGCACAGACCATGCGCTAGAATTATTACAAACACTACAAACACATCCCACTCATCTAATCCTCACTATCCTGTGTAGGCAGGCTCTATGATGAGCCCTGTTTTATAGGTAAGGAAACTGAGGCACAGAGAAATTCTGCAAATTTTCCAAAATCACATGGCTGGTAAGTGACAGAGTTGAACCCAGGAAGTCAGACTTCAGAATCTGCAAACTTAACCACGTGACACGGCTTTATATCCAGAGCTGACACCCAGGGCAGACAGCACTGTATAAATTCCTTCCTCTTCTTTGCTAATAGAAACCCGGTATTCAGACGGGTCTGTGGTTGCCAAAGATTACCTTTCTCGGCCTTCTTTTCAGTTATGTATCATCAAATGTCCTGACAAGGTCTGGACAACAGGACAGGGGCAGAAGTGAGGCTGTAACTCCCAGCAACTCCTCCCAGGCTGAAGTGCCCTTTCTTCAGCCTCTTTCTCCTTTTTGCCAGTTGAAAGGCAGATGGGATGGTTTCAGCAGCCTTTTTGGTCCATGAGACAACGCAGGGAGTGGAAGACACATGTGGGGGAGAAAAAAGACTCTTCTGGGTCCCTGCCACATGTCTGCGTTAGTTAACTGATGTTGCATAACAAAACACCCTAAACTTAGTGGCCTATGATGCCAGGAATTATTTATTATCTTTATCTTCCTTTCTTTATTACCTATGTTATTTTTCATAGTTCATAGCTCATAGTGGGTCAGGAGTTCAGGATCCACAACCAAGAAGGTCACTCAAACAACTAGCAAGCCAGTGCTGACTATCCTGGGGATGTCAGCTCCTCTTTACAAAGGCCTCTCCACACGACAACGTGAATGTCCTCAGGGCACAGTAGCTGCTGTCTCCCGAGTGAGTGATTCAAGGAGAACAAAGCAGAAGCTCAAAGCCTTTATCAGCTCAATTCAGAAGTCACACACTGTCACTTCTGCCTTAGTCTCTTGGTGACACAGACTCTATTGATTTATTTATCTATTCTTTCACCAATACTACTCTGTGGCTTTACTGCAGCTTTACAGTAAATGTTGAAGTTGGGGAGGGCCAATTCCTCTGATTTTGTTCTTCTCCCTCAATATTGTGTTGACTGTACAGGGTCTACTTCCATATTTTTAATGCATGTCTTTAAATATTTATATTCCTTATAAAATCTGGGGTGCTGATTTGTGTGCATGGGATATTAATTTACACAAATGGTCATGTCTGTAGATCTGGTCAAAGGGAAAGGACTTTATGTGAAAGAGGTTACTACCAGGAGACAAGGATGACTGGGGGCCATCTTGGAGGTTGGCTCCCACACAACAGAATGGCTGGGGGCAGTGGGGAGAGGGGGCTCAATGGGATGGGATAAAGGGGAAGAAGTCAAACTCCACTGTGGTCAAAACTACAAGACTTTGCACCCAAGTGTGGGAGGAGGCATGGTGTGCTTCACTGAGAAGCACATTGAACTTTGGCAGAGGAGTAGGGTTGCCCGGTCAGACCCAAAGGACAGGCCTTGCATAAACCAGGGATGACAGCTGGACAAAGATTCAGAAAAGTGCAAAGCTGGGGTCTCAGAGGAACTCCACGTGTTTCAGTGGGACTGAAGCCCAAGGTGGCCTGGTCAGGGAGGCAGGGCCAACTGCTAGTCTCAAACCTACAGGAGCTTCCTCTCTTACTTGGTGAACTCCTACTCAGTTCTCACCAGCCTCTGGGTTGCCTGAGAGCCCATGTGGTTGGGGAAGAAGTTTGACTGACCTGGCCTACTGTGTGATCACTTGTTCCTCTCAGAACCTCAGTTTTTTCATCTGTAAAGTGGGCAAAATAACTATACCAACCTGGGAAGGTTGTGATGGGGAGGAAGGGTCTGCCCCATGAAGCTTATGTTCTAATAGGCAGATAAATATTCCCACTGCTGTCTACCCCAGTGCCCAGAAGTGTGCCTGGCACCTGGCAGGTGCTAATTAACATTGTAGATAAATGAATTTGCAAAGAAGCAAAGCAGGGTAAGGAGGAGAGGGAGAGCAGAAGGAGGTGCTGGGGGAAAAAGGGGCAGTTGGTATTTTAGTCTGAGAAGACCAAACAGATTTCTCAGTCAGAGAAGTCAGAGAAGGCCTCCCTGAGAGGGGAGATTGGAAGGAAGTGGGGGAATAAGGTAAGGGACTATCCGGGGACAGATGAGATAGACAAGGGTGGCCTCTAGGGATAGCGAGGAGTCTTGTGTGGCTAGAGCAGAGCAAAGGATGGAGGACAGGAATTGCCAAAGTCCCTTGTGTGGGCAGGTTGAGAATGTGGCAGAAGCCCACACCCCACTCCCATAGACAAGATCTAGAACAGAGGCAAAGTTGCTCAGTAGCACCCTAGACAGGCTCCTTGGCCCACAGTCTGGTCCTAGCCACACCAGCACAAACTTCTGTTGGGTACAAAGCACTTACTGTATACCAGTCCCTGGCCTTATTAGCATAAACTCATGGAACCATCAACAGCCTCACCAGTAGGTACTATTATTGTCTTCACTTTTCAGAGCCGGAAACACACTCCAAGATACAGCAAACCTTGGGCCGGAACCAGGTCTCTCTGATGCCAGACCCTGGCTTGCTCTACTGCATTGTCCTAGAACTCTGTTTACAGCTCGCCTTCCCCTTTCAACACTGCAAAAGGCCTGTCTCAGACTCATTCATGGTTTTATTTTCCTCACAGGGTCCCCTGTGTCAAAACCTGTCTGAGCTGTGAATGAATGAATGAGCCTACCAAGTAAGCCCCCTCTGGCTTTTGGGCCCAGTTCACACCCTGTTTTGCTTCTCCAGGTCTAGCTGGGATGGGGAGGGGGCTGGACAGAGGAATTTCAAGCTTCCTGAGGATTGAGAGCAGAAGAGAGGGGGAGAAGGGGGAGAAAGTGAAAGTGAAGGGGAGCCAGGAGCCCCTGTGAGGAGGCGCAGACAGGGAAGGAAATCTCCCGGTAATAATTCATCAGCTCAGGAAGCAGCAGCCTGGCCTGGGGCTGCGTGTGGGACTGGCCTGTGGGGAGGGGGCCACGCAGGCTAAATCTCCTCCTCCCCAAAGCCCAGTCTGGCTGGGGTCACGGTCAAATGGTGGAGATGGGGGTGGGGCGGAGCCAGGTGTGGGAACAGATTTGCCTGCAGACCCTGGGGGCTAAAGACTTAGGAGGCTGCTCTCCCAGCAGCCAAGGGAAATCCTTCAGCCGCCCCCCCCAGGCCCCCAATCTTGTCCTGGGTCAGCAAAGCACAGAATGGCAGAGGTGGGAGGCATCTTCCAGAAAACTGAGATGGAGACAAAATGTACCTACAAAAATTTCAATCCCACTTCCTGCGCTTTCTTTGTCACACTGGCTGCCATTTGGGCTGAAGAGAAAGTTATTGTCAAGGCCAAGTGGATGCAGGCTTAGCCAGTCCTCAGGATAGAGATGGGAAGGGGTATGAGCAGCATGGGGACGCCGGCAGCCGTCATCAGCTCAATAATTCTTTCCAGGGCCTCTGAGGAGTTTCCTGAATCTAAGGTTTCCTGAAGGAAGGAAGACATTGAGGAAAGACAGCCTGTGTGTGTGTGTGTGTGTGTGTGTGTGTGTGTGTGTGTGTGTGTGTGTGTGTGTGTTAGGGGTGGCATTCCAAGCAGAGAGGGTGGGGGGTGGGACACAGATTCAGACCCTGCAGCTGTCCAGGGTGACATTGTGGGGAGTGAAGGAGAGAAAATGGGGGTGGAGAATATGGGAGATGGAAAGGGGGCGATAGTGAAACCACACAGACTGGGGCTACTGCCCCCACTCACCGCATGTAACACTGAAGGCCAAAGCTCTTCTTATCTGTAAATCGTGGACACTCCCCCCACAACTTCAATAGGGAGCAGCAAAAATCAGTAGAATTCAATATGTGTCTGGCACACAGTAGGGCCTCAGGCAAAATGTCAACACTGCGAGGGCAGAAGGGTTGTTTTGTTCAAGTCTCTAACCTCAGCTCAAAACCATGCCTGGCACATAGTAGGGAATCTGACAAACCCTTGTTGAATGAATAAAGGGAGCTACTGGAGTTTCTGTTTTGTTTTTGTTTTGCTTTTGCTTTCAAAAGATTGTCGTCAGGGATGTGACACTGTCGAATCCTTATTTGGAAAGAGTGTCTCTTTTCTCCCCATGTTCGGCATTGATCCCACCCTCTTCTACATCACGCAGAGCACAGGGCCCCATTCTAGATTTCTAAATTAGAATAAGGGAATCCAGGAATCTATCATGTCAGAAGCCCTGCTCCCCGATGCTCACTCAAACGAAAGTTGCAGAACCACGGAATTAGAATTTAAGTGTGAAAAACCCGGAGCTAGTTTCTCTGCAATCCTCTTTCAGAACGAGAAAACTGGATCTGATCCCAGTCTCCGCGAGGATCTAGGCGGAGGATTAGCATTTCGGATTTGGGCTCACTCGGGGCTCCCTGTCCAGACCCCAGCAAGCGTGGAACAGCCCGTCGGGACTTCAGGGCGGGCCACCAACTCGCGGGCCGCTTTCAACCTGGGGCACGGAGGGCGGCGGGCGCGTCGCCATTGGCCGAGGCGCGGGGTGCGTCTCCCCATTGGCCGGAGCGGAGCCTCCCGCCCCGGCCGGGGCGGCCTCGCGAGTGGCCCCTCCTCCGGCTATAAGGCGGCCGCCGGCGGGGCCGTGGGAGCGCGCGGGAGCGCAGTGCTGGGCGCGGTGAGCGCAGGACGCGGCGCACCGAGGGACGCGGACGGGCGCCCATGGCGTTCGCGCTGCTGCGCCCCGTCGGCGCGCACGTGCTGTACCCCGACGTGCGGCTGCTGAGCGAGGACGAGGAGAACCGAAGCGAGAGCGACGCGTCGGACCAGTCGTTCGGCTGCTGCGAGGGCCTGGAGGCGGCGCGGCGCGGCCCGGGGCCCGGGGGCGGGCGGCGGGCGGGCGGCGGCGCCGGCCCGGTGGTGGTGGTGCGGCAGCGGCAGGCGGCCAACGCGCGGGAGCGGGACCGCACGCAGAGCGTGAACACGGCCTTCACGGCGCTGCGCACGCTCATCCCCACCGAGCCGGTGGACCGCAAGCTCTCCAAGATCGAGACGCTGCGCCTGGCGTCCAGCTACATCGCACACCTGGCCAACGTGCTGCTGCTGGGCGACGCGGCGGAGGACGGGCAGCCGTGCTTCCGTGCGGCCGGCAGTGCCAAGAGCGCAGCCCCTGCCACCCCCGACGGCGGCCGCCAGCCGCGCTCCATCTGCACCTTCTGCCTCAGCAACCAGCGCAAGGGGGTGAGTGTGCGGCGCCCAGCACTAAAGCCTGGGTCAGGGGATGGCTGAGGTCGGGCCTATCCGGGCGGGCGCAAAAGAGAGGCAGGGGTCAGAGCAGGGATCACAGTGAACACGGGGAAGCGTCGTGGAGTTAGTCAGAAGTGCTCCAGGCCCAGGACTTGGTGTGGTACAGATCCACTTGTTTAATGTCCCCCACAAAAGAAGAAGTGCAGGAAAGCCCAGAGCTCAGGCATGATTTCCAGGAGAGATTGCTCGTGAAGGGACACCCTCCCCTGCCCCCCCAACGGAGGGAGCACTGGAAGAGGACTCACAGGAGGTGATAACAAAGGCCATCATGTATTGAGCTCTGCTTCTCGCTTTTTACCTTCATTAAGAAGCTGGGCAGGCAGGCAGTTATCTGCCCGTTTTATTACTGATGCCCTCTGAGGCTGGCACGGGTGTGAGCACATGCCACCTTTACTCCCCTGGGAAGCCAGAGTGCAGGCACTGGGTTTGCTGAATTTGTGTTGCCTGGAGTTACCCCTTCTGTAAAATAATCTTCCCGCTCCTTAGATCTGACCCAAGAACAGGATGATGTTAAGAAAAGATGATGTACATGTCCAACCAAAAGCCTGAGGTGCCAGCTGATGAGCAGTGGGGGTGAAGAGGGGGGTCCCTGAGGGTACCCAGACCAAGAGAGATGGAGTGTTGGGGGCACTGTTGAGTCAGCTGGGCAGAGCTGAAGTTCAGCTCCTGTGGTGCCTCCTAGGTGAGGAAACCACCTGGCTAGTGGTGGATGGATGGAGCTGGAAGCTGCTGAGGTTAGGGGGAAGGGGGCTTCTCCTGGATGAAAGCTGGTTCTCCTCCTCCTCCTCAAGGAACCTGCTCTTCCCTCCCTGCCTTTCCCTGTCTGTTCTGGGCTTTTCCTACGGTGAGGAAGCTTGTCTCTGTGACAGCCCTGGATTCCAGCAGCTACCATTTACATCTGGGGAAACTGAGTCTGAGCAAGTCCCTGACAGGTCCACAGACTTTTAGAAGGTAAAAGAACCTTGGGGGGGGGGGGAGGTTAGGCCTCTGAGTCCCCTAGGCTTTGATTCTTATGGCTGCTCAAGGTCCCCTGCTTCACTCTGTTGTGGAGAAACCTGTTTCCTGGCTTCAGATCACCCCCTTCCGGCTCATCAGACTCCTAACCTGACCTCTCACCCTCATGGCTGCTGCGCTTTCCCTGAGTCCTTCTTAGGTTTGGCCTTGTACTCTCTCAAGATTCCTGCTCTCAAGAGCAGCCTCGTGGGCCCTGGTCAGTGCTGGCCTGGGAAGTTGGTGTGGGCCTTCAGGCATCCTTCCTGGGACGTGAAGGCTGACTAGGGCCTTGGTGGTTCTCCCCAACTGTCTTTTATCCATTAATCAGTTCACCAAACTTCACCCAGCAGCTGCATTTTGACAACATTGAGAACATTCCCCAAGAAGCAGGTTGTGGATCCCCACGCACCAGCAGCAGAGCAGGACAGGGCGACAAAGGCGAGGGTGTGTGGTCTGAAGGGAGAGGGAGCAGCAAGGGATTTTGGGACCCAGAGGAAGGCCCCAACCCCAGGACTAAATTCCTGATGGATGCTCGGAACAGAGGCCAACAGATGAGGGGCTGAGAAGGGCGTACCAGGAACAGAACACAGTAAGAGTTAAGGCCAGAAAACATGACCTAGAGAAGGAAAAGGGGAGACATTAAAGATAGTGGAACCCAGAGGGGAGATGAAGACTGGCCAGTGACAGCCAACGCAGCGTCTTTGTGCGCGCTGAGCATCTGAGCTGAACCATCTCCTCCGCATTATCAGGAAAATCCCTCAGCCGCAGAAAGGAGGTGCCGTGGTTATCCCCACCTGCTTTGACATCTGTCACTGGTTCAGAGACATGCAGTCCCTGATAGAGTCAGGGTTTAAACTCAGGCCTGCCTGATTGGGAGGTGGGAAAGGTTAGTGTGGAAGGGTGGTCTGTCACTGCCCACCGCACCGCAGGTGGGCTCGGGGCTTCTCTGCTTGGCTTTCAGTCTGACCCACAGTTCACGGGCCACACCTGGGTCTGGCTGCTTCCCTGGGATCTGTCTTCGGGACCAAGAACCCAGCCAAATTTGGCCACAGAAGCCATGTTCTCCACCCCACAGGTTCCCACAGAGACAGGCGAAAGGGGTGATCCTTCTTCCTTCTGGAAGAAGACTGGCTATCTTAGAGAGCCTCTGGGGGGCTCCCTTTTGAGCTGTGGAGGCCAGAGAGCTCCAAGACTCCAGAACCTGCCCCTTTGCTCTGAGCCACAACCACCCTCCCTGACTGGTCTGATGTTGGAGTCACCAAGGAAACAGCTCCCTGTATCATCTTCCTGTTTAAGGAGGGGGTTAGTGTGGCCCTCTGTGGTAGAACTCACAAGTGAGAGATGGAAACGGGTCTTGTCTCTGCCCTGTTTTCCCTTTTGTCACCTGGGTGTGGGGGGTTAGAGAGGATTATCTTGCCCAGTTGGTGTGCCCACTTAGAAGCAGGAGGAACACAGACTATGGTGGCACCGGTGAGGATTCCTTGCCAGATGATGCTGATCATGATACTTATGAACGTCCATTGAGCACTTACTATGTTCTGACCCTTGGAAAGGGCTTTACCTGTGTTCATGTGTTTAATCTGCATAGCAGGTCCACCTGGTGCTGGGTGGAAACTGAGGCTGAGTGAGCTCACTTGCCTGAGATCCAAACAGTAGTCCAAGGCGAGCAGCAATCGAAGCACAGCTCTGTCTCTCTGGAGTGGATCTCCTAACCTCGGTGCTTCCCAGAGCCCTTGGTGCTGAGTTCCTCAGGGATAAAGAAGCCGGGGCCTATGTATGGCCTCTTCTAAGTGTTTTTGGCCCTTGACAAGCTTCTCTCACAGCTGGATTCGCAATCGATTGCTCCCTAGGGTGGCAAGTGGAATCATTTGTCCCCATTTCATAGATGAAGAAACTGAGGTGCAAGGAGGTAAATAGGCCCAGCATTCTCTTGGGGCCCAGGGCTCCATCTGACCCCCAGTCTTGGGGTGGAGGTGGCTCTTCTTGTCCCTGAGGACCTAGAGTGAAAAGGTGGAAGGTCAGCTTTCTAGTCCTCAACCTCAACACCACTCCCCTCCCTTCCCCCATCTGCCCTTCTCAGACACTCCTGCCAGAGTTTGCCTGAGAAGCCCAAGCCCCAGGCTCTGCTGGGACTATGGCCTCAGCCCTCAAAATAGCCCTGCCTGTGAATGAACACACTGTCCCTTGGCCCGGAGAGCCTCCAGGGAAACTGCGCTCACATCTGGATGGATCTGCCCCAACCTGGGTCCAGTAGCGGAGGGAGGCAGGGGGCAGAGCTCCCAGACAGTCATCTTTCTCTAGATGGCTGAGAATGATGCCTGTCCCATCACCTCCTGGCCAGGCTTGAGGGGGTGGGGGTGAGCATTTACAGTGGAATTTCAGATTCTACTGTGACCTAGAAACAGGGCAGACTATTAGACACCATGGACTTAAGAGCCTGGCATTTAAACCAACAGGCTGGGTGCCTCTGGCCCAGTCATTGAATGACTGGCCTCAAAAGATGGGGTGCTTCAGGGCCTCCCCGGTGGCGCAGCGGTTGAGCGCTGGGTTGCGAAGCTGCCCGTGGCCTCTGCGGCTCCGGTTCAATCCCCGGCTGCTCCCCGGCCACCGGAGGAGGGTCCCGCATGGCGCACAGACCTCTCCTGCCGCCCGCTGCTCCCCTCAGCAGTGTACTTCGGTCCTTCTGCCTGCTCTGCTCCCCGCTCTGGCTCTGGTGAATTCTCTCACCCTCCCGTGCTTCTGACTGTACCCAGTGCATGTATAAACAAAACAAACAAACAAACAAACAAACAAATAAATAAAATACGTGCCTCTTTAAAAAAAAAAAAAAAAAGATGGGGTGCTTCAAAATCTGTGATGTTAGTGGGTGATATTGAGGGCAAAACCTACATATCAGAGCTCGAGTACTGGATAGAGACCACCTCTGCCAGGTGCAGGACGGGTGGCTTCAGGCGCTGCCACCATTAGCTCTTCTTCACCACTGATTCAAGCAGCACTGGCTGGCATTGCTCCCTGTCAGTCTCTGGGCTGAAACTGAGGCCACAGAGTGAAGGCGTTTCCCTACTATCCCCTGAGCTACCAGTCTAGGCGGGGACAAGAGAGGCATAATCCTCCCTTTCTGACAAATAAATCACAGCCACACAGAAAAGATCTCAGCTTTATCCTGATGGAATCTCTCCAGGAAGGGAGGAAGTGCTAGACCTTTGCAGGAATAGAAAAAGTGGCCCTTATTCCCAGGGAGATGGGACCAGAGAGAGCTGTTCCTTCATACACGCCGAATGAAGACAGGGAGGCCAGAGGTCCACAATCTTTTTGAGGTCAGTGACTAATCACTGGACATACAGTCAAGCAATGGGGAGAGCTGCTGCAGGGTTGTTTTGCCCTTCATGTAAATATTATGATTTCAAATGTATTGGATTTTTTTTTTTTTTTTTTTTTAAGATTTATTTATTTATACAAGGACTGGGTACAGTCAGAAGCGCAGGAGGGTGAGAGAATTCACCAGAGCCAGAGCGGGGAGCAGAGCAGGCAGAAGGACCGAAGGACACTGCTGAGGGGAGCAGCGGGCGGCAGGAGAGGTCTGCGCGCCATGTGGGACCCTCCTCCGGTGGCCGGGGAGCAGCCGGGGATCGAACCGGCGCTGCAGAGGCCGCGGGCAGCTTCGCCACCCAGCGCTCAACCGCTGCGCCACCGGGGAGGCCCTGTATTGGATTTTTTTAAGCAAAAATTCAGATGGGGAGGAAACAAAAAAGATGAAAAAGTATAAATAACATTAAAAACTGGGCCTCCCTGGTGGCACAAGGGGTTAAGTCTCAGCACTATAAAGCTATTTGCAGCCACTGCAGCACGAGTTCAATCCCCAGCCAGGGAGCTACCCACATGGTGCAGCAGACCTCTCCTGACTCGCCCCCTGCTCCCCTCAGCAGTGTATTTCAGTCATTCCACCTGTTTTGTTCCCCACTCTGTCTCTGGTGAATCCTGTCATCCCCCACACCTCTGGCCTACACCCCAGCTCTTGCATGCATAAATAAATAAAAAATTAAAAATTTAAAGAAGACTTTAAAGAAACTTCTGCACTTTGCTTTTGTCCTTGAATGATGTTATCTCCACCCCATCCTCATCAATACACACAGTTTCTTCTCCCTTCTACTGCATAAACTTTATTGCGTGACTGTGATTTTTATAGCAAGCCCCCTAAGACGCCATTAGTTAGTTTCAGTGTTCTTGGTGATGTGGTCAAATGTACCAATACCTCTTTTTCCCTTCCTGCAGGGTGGCCGGCGTGACCTGGGGGGCAGCTGCTTGAAGGTGAGGGGGGTGACCCCACTACGAATGTCAAGGAGATGAGCCTGGACCCCTGTGCCACTTGCTCCAAGCAGGATCCTGGAGAAGGAAGCCAGAGGCCAGCAAAGACCCCAAGAGCTCAGCCCAGCCCTCTTTTGTCTGAGGATCGGAGTACAATGGCCTGGGCCCATGACCTTCAGGGCAGGCCCTTTGGGACATCTCCACCCCACTCTGAGGAGCTGTGAGGACTCATCCAGCAGGCCCCAACCCTGGCTGGTCAGAGATTGGGCAGAACTTTTGGAAAAACAAAGACTGTTGATGACAGAGGATGTGTGCATGCCTGTGTATAAGTGTGTGTGTGTGTGTGTGTGTGTGTGTGTATGCACGCATGTGTGTGTGTGTGAGAGAGAGAGAGAAAATTGGTGGGTTTAAAATAAAAGATATTTTTAAATAAAAGATGTTCCCAGCTGCAGAAGGGAAGGGCCTGGGGAATCAGGAATCAAAAATGACCCCCCCTCTCCTGGACCTTGGGAGAAGCACAGACGTCACAGGTGCTGCCCTGTGCCCTGGGCAGGATCAGGCTAAGGGAAGGCTGGGAGACCCCTTTCCAAAAATAGAGATACCCAAGCTTTCCTCATAGTCTTCTTGGACAACTGTTAGGTGTCCACTGTGGTTGGTAAGGAATCTTAATTTTATTTATTGATGATTAATACATTCATTCACATGGTTCAGAATTCACAAGAGAGAAGATGGTGGAAACCTCCCTCCCCCGTGTCTCCCGCACCAGTAGGCAGCCTCGGCCACCAGCTTTTTGCGACATCCCCATTTTCCATGACTGACCAAGCAAATACAGGAAAAGATATATTGATTCAAATACATATTACAAAATATATTAATAATAATATTAATTATTAAAATATATCAATGTATTATATGCTTAAATCATGCAAATGATTATTAATGATAAGCATATATTAACATAAATATATATGTATGCATTTCTGTCCAGTCTTTACACAAACAGAAGCATATTATACACTTTCTCCTCTTGCATTTTTTTTCTTGCATCTTTTTTCCTTAATCTGGCTTGGCTCTCATGCCAAGTCAGTACACAAGAGGTCCACGCCTTTAGCTGCATATTCTGCTTCATGAACGTACCATTCTTTAAATGATGCCTTATCCATGTCTTCCCAGCCGGCGTTGTGTGGGCACTGTTCCCACGCAGGCAGGTGGATGATGGATGAGGCAGACAACGTAAGGTCTGTCTACCCTTAAAGCGCAAAGCCAGCTCCTTCCCTGCCCCAGAGAGGCCTGAGATGGGGGGTAATTCTCCCAGAAGCTCTGGCAGATGTGGGCTGGTGTTTGCGCATTTCACAAATTCAGCTGAGGTGGAGATGGAAGCAGCTGGCAGTGGGGCCAGGACATAGGGCTCTGTCCCTATGAGGCCAGGATTAAGGAAGCCCAGGAGGCTGGGTGGGGGGAAGTGGGGGGACCCAGAGAGCTTCAGAGCCAGGCACCTGCCCTTTCCTCGCCTAGGTATGTTCATATGCCTTCTTAAAACGTCATCTGTTTACCAAACTCTTGACTGGCTGAAGCCTGGCTTCAGAGCCCAAGCTCCCATCCACTCTGCTCTGCCACTCACTGCACTTGACCCTCTGACAGCCCAAAGTGCAGCTGCTGGTTTTGCTGACCCACATTACTAAGCACCCTGTCTGTGCCCGGTACCTCAGGGCGAGACCCACGCATGGGCCTCACAGATGGACACCCAGGCCCAGGGAGAACCATGAGTCCTGTCATGTGCAGTCCAGGCTGGAGAGGGGCGAGAAAACTCCCTACTTGATCCCTTGAGTGTGAGACTTGGAGGGTGGACCTTGGGGAGGGAGAGGGGAAGCTCGGGTTTGCCCAGGAGACAGGAGAGCTGTCCAAGCACCCTCTGCCTTGTTTCCCCGGGGATCCCAGAGACACTGCCTTGCCTGTCCTGTGTCCCAGTACAGTGGCACTTCCCCCTTTGGGAGCTAATTAAGAAAGCACATTGTGCTCCCTGCGCCTCCCCAGGTCCAGGCAGCCCCTGGCAAAGCCACAGGAAAAGGACCGTGACATCGTCAATGGCAGGAAACCTGGGAGTGGGGACAGCAGATTTTTGGGTGCTCTGGGCTAGAGGCCCACTTCTGCCAGCACATTTGCTGGGTGACCCCCCAAGAAATTGCTTAACCCCTCTGGGCCTCTCAGCAAGAACAGGGGGCACAGCGATCATTGTTTTGCCTGGATAATCAGTTTTTAGCAGACCACTTGCGTGCTAAGTAAATAATTGATGTTGTATGGAATAGTATGCAGTGAGAAGGCCTCAGGCCCCTCCCCCAAGACAATTATGTTAGCAGTTTCCTGTGTGTCCTTCCAGAAGTGCTCTATACTGACTATGATTTCTGAAAGAGTATTTATAGCTTTCTCTGCTTATGTTTTCACTGTGAAAAATTGAAATGCTACAAATCCCTTCAAATACCACCCATCCCGAAGATAACCACAGTTAAAACTGTAATCATCTGGAATTTTTCTAAAACACACACTGACACATACACTTGAACAATCATTTGCAGCTTACTAGGTTAAACTTTCTACGGAAGTCTCAACACGCAGTTCATGTGCCGGGAAGTGTTACCACTCAGCGGGTTTCACCAATAGCACACTTGTGGACCCGGTGAGGAGATTAAGAAATGCAATTAGCTGCATCCTGGGGGCCCCTCTACCCTCCTGCTCAGACTGGGTCTTTCTATTGTATTTCCCTTGAAATAGATAATGCTCTTAGAGTGTTCACAAACCAAAGAGAATAAGCTGACAATAAGTCTCCTTCCTTCCCAGCTAGTAGGTTCCAGTTCTTAGCGGCAATTACCATCAACCAGGGGCTGATAGAGACCCCTGCAGAGAGTCAGTGTATACAGGCAGGTCACATATACAGCAGATCCTCAACTCATTCAACTCATTTTGTTGATGAATACAAAAAAAAAAAAAAAAATCCCTACCCAGGTTGAAGGAAACTATGTTATACCAAGAGCTGGTTTTGTTATGTGTCATTTGGCTTCAAGTGGCAGTTTCTAAGAAACGATTAAGGATTTTAAGTGAGCACTTACTGTATAGTTTTTCCACACAATTATTTGCGTTTTATACACTATTCTACACTTGGATTTTTTGTCCTTAACAAACTATCTTGGAGACCCTTCAATGTTCAGAGCAACTTCATACTTTTCCACAGTTGCATAGTACTTCCTTCTGCACATTTTGCACTTTGCTGTCTTCCTCAAAGCTCTCTCTTGGGTAATGGGCAGTTAATATCGATGAGCCTTACTGAGTTGCCAGGTCAACCCAACACATGCGACTTGGGAGAGGCACACCTGTGGACTAGTACTCTGGGGGCCATTTGCACCCCTCTCCCAACACACACTTTCTACCATCAGAGTAGGCCAGCCCAGCCAGGCTTCTTCAGACTTTCCCAGAGAGAACCAACATGAGACAGAAGAGTAAAATTGCTCAGGGAGGAAAAACCCAAGGCTGAGGGCGGGTGGAATGACCAACTCAGCCAGGTCACCTAGGACCCTGAAGGGGAGGCTTAAATTGAGGTCACATTCTCCACCCAAACCTTCCTAGACCCAAGGAGCACCAGCACAACAGTGATCCCTGAGTCCATCATTTTGCAATGAGGAGACTCAATAACATGAGACAAACTGCCAGAGTCCCTGGCCCGCCAGGAACCCAGGTCTCCCTCCTGGCCATTCATGGCTCTTTAATTCCACACTTTCAAGTGGGAAGCTTTAGAGGTTGCCCACAGCAATGGAGAAACTGAGGCCCAGAGAGGGACAGCAATGGGCCATGTTTGCCCAGAGGAGGCAGCTGAGTGAGGCTGAGGTACAGGGCCCCTCCCCAGCCCAGGGCTTCTCCACCACTTAAGCCACCCTCGTTGACCCAGGCCACTTCCATTTTATGAGGTTCCTATTAAGTTAAAAGATAAAAACACACAGTTCTGAAAGTTTTATTTAGCAAGTTAAGCACCTATAAATGGTCACAAGCTGAATGCATTATCATGAAAACATTGGAAAATTTTTTAAAAACATCAATTTGCAGGGCATACATGTAAAGTTGAACAACCATGTCTGCATCTCTTGTTACTACTGCATATTTTACATCATGAGAAGCTTAGCTACATAACTAAATACATGTCCGGGGGAAATGCTATAGGGGATATTATTGGACAGTTGACAAAACTGGAATAAGAACAATAGATAAAAATATTGTATCAATGTTACATTTTCTGAATTTACTAACAGTAAGATTATGTAAGAGGATATCCTTGTGCTTAAGAAATACACCCTAAAGTATTACTAAGGGGTTGAAGAATGTGATGTGGGTGACATGTTCTCAAATGGTTCAGAAAAAAATAAATACTATGTGAGCAAGAGAAGGATAGAGCAAACATGGGGAAAAGTCAGCATTTGGTGAATCTAGGTAAGGCTCTGCACCATTTTTGAGGGTAAGCTTGGAAATGATGGCAGAATAAAAATTTAATCTGGGTTGGGATTTTGGCCTGCTAGGACATGAGAGGTGCCAAAAGATCTCGTGGTTCCCTCTGACCTGCCCTTGCCTCAAATGCGCCAACACAGACTGGAGAATACCACTGGTGGGTCCAGACAGCCCTGACCAAGACTCGGGACACTGAGCCCCTCGGGAGACTAAGGTGGTCCCAGCCCCCAAGCCTCCTGCCACCATGATTTATGTCCCTGTGAGCCCCAGCAGCTGTGAGCATGGGTCCTGCCAGGCAGCCTGCTGAGGGAGTGGGGGCAGCGTTTGCTTCTCAGCGTGTCTAATCCAGACCAGACTTGCAGACCCCACGGGCCTGGGATCAGGCTCCCAGGGGGCCGGGGTCAGAGGGCAGGCCAACAGGGCCTGGAAACTGGGGAGGCGCTCAGGATGAACTGGCTAGAAGGCAGGAGGCCTGGCCTGGTCTAGCTTGGCCACTGCTCCTGTGTGACCTGGAGTGGATGTCTACCCACTCTGGGCCCTGAGTAGGGCCTCATCTCACACACAAGCACAGCAAGCGCATGGCGGACCAAGAGAGATTTGTAAACTAGCGTTGTAGGAGAGAGGCCTGGTAAACATTAGGGGTTATTTTTTTCTGAATGTCCAGATCCTCTAGGCTTGGAAACTCCCCTGGCACTTTTGAGGGCCTACTCTGTGGCAGGCCTTGGTCTATGTACTTTACATAAGTTAATTAACATAGCCTACTCACCAAGTTGTAGTAAGATTGCCCCGTTTTATAAATGAGGAAACGGAGACACAAGGCGGTTAAAGAACTTGCCTGAAGTCACATGGTGGCTGGTGAGCAAGTGGATTTGAACCAGGTGTTCGGCTGCAGAGTCCCCTGAGACCTCACCAGCTTTGAGCCTGGTTTGTACAAGCCAACTGAACTGGGGCTTCCAGAACAAGACAGAAATGGGCATTCCCCCATCTGAGTCTACATCCCTCCACCTGTGCACCAGAGGAGCTGAGGACCATCAGCCCACACCCGGGGAAACTGCCCTGTCTGCTGGGTTCCCCAGGGTTTCTGATGCCCCCAGAACAGGAGCTGCCCAGATGCACTCTCAGAGTTCATCTCAGTCTTTTGGGTCACTGACAGGCATACCAAGGCTCAGAGCAGTTGATGCACATCCCCAATGTCCCACAGCAAGTCAGAGAGGAGCCGGAACCAGATTACATGTGTCCCGGTCACATTTGTTTGCATTGCCTGGCAACACGCCCCCTGAGCAGCAATAAGCATGAGAGTCAAAGGTCCCTAAAACTTGGTGACTTACAGGTGCGGCCT